GGTGGCGGCTGTTGTGCTCGCCATCATCATCATCTTCCGCCTGACTGCCGAAAATAATGGGAAACATTCACTAATCGTCACAACTGCGAGTGCCCAATTACACAACACAAGAACGCGTGGAGAGGAAAGCGCACTGCTCTGTGTGTTGCTCTCTCTCACACACTCACTCACACACACACACACACAACACACACACACACACACACAACACACACACACACACTCCTCTCACACTCCATCACTCGACTTCCCAACTCAGCAGCCTTGTTTGCCTGCTAAGCAGAGTGTACACCTGCTGCAAGGATGAAGGAACAGCACCATGTGATGGGGCGACGAACGGTGTCGCACATCCAGTTCGGCACAATGAGCTCGCAGCAGATGCAGCGCTTGAGCGAGGTGAATGTGTACGCTCCCGAAATGTACGCTGCTAGCAACAGGAAAGCCGTCGACTTTGGCCCTCTGGACAGGCGCATGGTAAAGAATCGTGCTTGCTCATGCTTGTGTGTGTGTGTGTGTGTGTGTGTGTGCGTGTGCGCGTGCGTGGTTGAGTCAGCTGTTGGGCTCACTGTGTGAGTGTGAGTGTACAGTCGCAGCAGCAGCAGTAGCAGCAGCGGCAGCAGCAGCAGCTGTTTGTGTGTGAACACCATTGTGAGTGTGCTCACTCGTGTGAGTGCTGCTTGCTTGCTTCGCAGGGTGCATTTGACAAAGCCACGCCATGCTCCACGTGTGCGCTGGACATGAGGGAGTGTGTGGGCCACTTTGGCCACATTGAGCTGGAGCTGCCAGTCTTCCACATTGGCTACTTCAAGGCCACCGTCAACGTCTTGCAGCGCATTTGCAAGGTGTGCCACGTTGTACGCGTGGGAGCGTGCTTGCTCGTGCTTGTGTGTGTGTGTGTTTGTGTGTGTGTGTGTGTGAGTGTATGTGTATGTGTGTGTGAGTGTATGTGTGTGTGTGCGTAAGTTTGCACCTGTGCTTGCGCATTTACGACAATCGCAATTGCCGCATTCTCATCACTCTCGCCGTCATCATCTGCCACATCCGCCCTCCTTCCTGCGCCACTTGCATTGCGACGCAGACGTGCAGCCGCGTGCTGATGACGGATGACCTGCTCTTCACCTACACGGACCGCTTGCTTGCCCCTCACCTCGAGTCAAACCAGCGCCAGGCCATCATCAAAGAGGTACACTGCAGCTTACACGCGCAGTCTGAGAATGTATGAAAGCGTGCACCTTTGCACTCTTTTTGCACTGCTCTCCCTTTCTCCTCTCCACTGACCTCCCCCCTCCTCTATGTGGCATCCCAATTCATTCAAACCATATCCACCACCACCATCATCGTCATCACCACCACCACCATCATCATCATCGTAGGCGGGCGACCTGTGCAAGAAGACGCTGCGCTGCCCCCACTGCGGCGCACAAAACGCGACTGTCAAGAAGGTCCCGCCCATGAAGATTGTGCACGAGCTCTATGTCAAGAAGCACGAGGCAGAACGCGTACGTCCACCATATTGATTTGCGGTTATTGTTGTTTGTCGTTATTTTTGCATGGTGCTGCTGTACATGCGGCTCGTGCTTGTCGTGCGTGTGTGCTACACAGTGCTCTGCCCCACTTCCACATGCTTATCACCACCCACCACCCACCACCATCATCACCATCATCACCATCACTCACCATCATCATCATCACCACCACCACCACCACCACCAGACACGGCTGCACGATGAGCTGGCCGCCGCGGCTGAGGAGGTGGACGGTCTGCGTTCGCTGCTGCGCCAGGATCGCGCACAGGATGTCCTCAACCCCCTCCGCGTGCTCGAGCTCTTTCGCAACATCCCCGACAGCGACTGCCTCATATTGGACCTTGGCGCGCGGCCGGAGTCGCTGCTGCTGACGAGCATCATCTGCCCGCCCGGATGCATTCGCCCGTCGGTTATGCGCGATGCATCGGCCACGTCCTCCAGCGAAGACCCAATCTCCGTCAGCCTCACAGGTCTAGATAGGCACAGAACTCGCTATGCTTCGTGCCTACGCCTCACATGCTTGTGTGTGTTTGGGTTTTTGCTTGTGTTGGGTGTGTTTTTGCTTGTGTTGGGTGTGTGTGTTTGTGTGTGTTGGCGTTGGGTGTTTCCTGCTCTGCACTGCTGATGGCGGTGCTGTGTTGTCCACAGCTGCTAGGTACAGCGTGCGAGTTGTCATTTTTGCTTGCTGTCATCTGCCAACATCTGAGCACACATCACCACTCACGCTGGCATCCGTGCCTCCGCTGCTGCAGAGATAACATTCGACGGTTCCTGACCGACCCAGCAAAGGTTTGCTCTCCTTTCGCCTCACTCCTTATGCACACACACCTCACACACCTCACACCACTGCCGTCCGCCCGCCTTTCCTTCATTCCCTCACAACCACAACTTTTGTGTGTGTGTGTGTGTGTGTGTGTGTGATTGTGTGTGTGTGTGCGTGATTGTGCGCGTGCTGATTGTGTGCATACACTGTTTGCATGTGGTGGCAATGGCTAGCTGACGTGGCATTCTTCATGGAGCGCAGAAGGTGTGTGCTCGCGCCACCGCTGCTGCTGTTATTGCTGCTGCTGCTGTTATTGCTGCTGGTGCAATTAAGTGTACGATGCTTCGTGCGGCAGACCAGTCCCACCCCTCGCTCACAACCCTCACCCTCCTCCCCTCACTTTTCTCTCCTGTGCGACAGCTGATGGGCGATGCAGGCGGGCAGAAGTTGGAGAAGGTGATGGAGACGTGGGAGCAGCTGCAAATCTCCTCGGCCATCCTGTACAACGGCCAGCTCACCAACCTCATGCAGACGCAGAAGAAGCCCATTCGCGGTTTTTTCCAGCGGCTCAAGGGCAAGCAGGGCCGCTTCCGTGGCAATCTCTCCGGCAAGCGCGTCAACTTTTCCGGTCGCACCGTCATCTCGCCAGACCCGAACGTCGGCGTTGACGAAGTCTGCGTTCCGTATCACGTCTGCCGCATCCTCACCTACCCGGAGCAGGTCAGCTGGTGCTTGCTCGGATAGTTGGTTGGATAGTTTGTTGGATAGTTTGTTGGATAGTTGGTTGATGGTTTCGTCGTTGTTGCTTGACGTGTTGTGCAGCCTTTCATGTGCGTTGTGATGGTGCACATCAACAAGCACATGAAAAGAACATTGACTGTGCTCTCACACATGCCCACATCCACAACACACGCCCTCTCACACTCTCACATTGCACTCACACACACATATGCACATGCACACTCGATTACACGCGTGTTCTTACCCCTCTCCCCTCTTATCCCCCTTTCACAACTGACAGGTGACAAAGCACAACCTTGAGAAGCTGCGCAAGATGGTGCTGAACGGCCCAAAAGGTGCGCCACACGTGAACATGGCAGTGTATGGCTTGCGCACCAACGTGCAATGACTGTACCGTTCTCTTCCTCTTTTCCACACCCTCACCACGATGACAGTGCTCACCACATAATTCCACGCATCCTCCCACACACGATATCACCACACCATCCTGCACACATGTCACCACATTGGCAGTGTATCCTGGTGCGACGACGGTTGAGCTCCGTAACGGCGACAAGAAGAGCCTGGCGTTTGCCAACCGCCGCAATGTAAGAGAGGGGGGGGGGGAGATGATGTTCAATGAATGAGAGAGGGCCCGGTCATGTACGTGCAGCTTGCATCGTGAACATGCACAATGAGAAATCACAACCACTCACTCTCTCATCGACCACCCATTCACCACCCATTCACCACCACTCACCACCACTCACTCACCTACTACCACTCGCCAACTCACTCCCACCAACTTGTGCATGCCGTGCATTGTCTTTTCAGCTTGCGCGCAATCTGAGCATCGGCGATAAAGTCCTGCGCCATCTTCTTGAGGGGGATTACGTCCTCTTCAACCGCCAGCCATCTCTCCATCGCATGAGCATCATGTGCCACAAGGTGCGTGCATGCTGCTGTTGAATGTTGGCGGTGGTGTTGCTCGTCTTGATGGTGGTGGTATTGGGTGGTGGTCATGTTGGATGGTGGTGTTCAAGACTCAATGAAACGCCTCAATCACCTCTGCACCTCCACACAACACACACACACATACTCATCCGCATACACACTCTCTCGTGTCCACATCCCTCTGCACACATCCACTCGTCTGCCCCTGCAGGCAAAGCCGCGACCGTGGCGCACGTTCCGCTTCAACGAGTGCGTGTGCAAGCCGTACAACGCCGATTTCGACGGCGATGAGATGAATCTTCACGTCCCGCAGACGGAGGAGGCGCGGGCCGAGGCCGCAGAGCTCATGCTCGTGAGTCGGCGCACTGCACATACACACAAGCACACACACACACACAAGCACACACACACACACACACACACGTGGTGGAAGTGGTGGTGGTGGTGGTGTGTGTGCTTGTTGTTGTTGACAGTTGCTTTCGTATCTTGTTTTGTGAGTGTTTGGGTCTCTGGACATTTGTGGACAATTCTTTCCGTTCACCCGCCTTTCAATCCCCACTCTCACGTCTCTTTCACGGCACTGTGCGGTCACCTCACCACGCATCCATCCCATCACATCTGTTGCTGCTTCGTCAGACCACGAACAACCTGTGCACGCCGTGCAATGGCAAGCCGCTGATTGCTGCGACGCAGGATTTCATCACGGGCGCGTATCTCCTCACCACCAAGGACGTGTTCCTCTCGCGCCAGGACATTGCACAGGTCCGCAGGGAGCGCTGTCGTGGTGGTGGTGGTGGTGGTGGTGATGATGATGACGACGACACATGGGGACACGCTCGTGTAGTAATGTGTGTGTATCTTCGTTCGTGCGAGATTTACATGAGAGGATGTGCATTCAACCACAGTCCTGAATGTGTCACCTCATCACCTGACCGTGTGTCCGCCATGACCGTGTGCTCTCAGCTTGCATGCTACATGGGCGATGGGGAGCTGCTCGTGCATCTTCCTCCACCAACCATCATCAAGCCAATGAAGCTTTGGACAGGTAAACGCACATGCACACAAAGACACACGAGTATGCATATTGATGCAACCACACACGCGCGCGCGCACATGTGTACGTGCATGCGTTGGTCGGGCTTCTTCCTCCCTCCCCCACTCGGCCTGGATTGCTCACACCACCAACCACGCATCTGTGCCACGTCGCCAACTGTTAAATACATGCACAACTTGTTGTCTTGCGTGTGTGTGTGTCTGTTTGTGTCTGTATGTGACTGTGTATGCGTGTATGTACTACACAGGCAAGCAGGTGATTTCGCTGCTTCTGAAGCCGAACAAGTTCGATCCCACTGAGATTTATCTCCAGGCCAACAACCGCTCCTACGACAAGGACTACGCGAAACAGGAGGTGGGATGTGTTGGTGTTGGCATGTGCACGCTTCCTTACCCGCACATATCCACACGCATTGCTTTGCATACATGCTACATGCCTGTGTTGTGTGTGCGTGTGTGTTCTTGTCACACTCACCCATTCTCACACACACACACACACATCTCTGTCTCACCACCGCCATCATCATCACCACCACCACCACCGCACACACACGCACGCACGCACGCACACACAATTTTTCCCGCCCTTCTCCCCAGTTTGGTGGAAAGCCGACGCTTGGGGAGAAGACGCTGTGCCCCGAGGATGGCTTTGTTCTCATCCGCAAATCGCAGCTGCTGTCCGGCTTCCTCGACAAGGGCATCATTGGGGAGAGCAAGTCCAGCATCTTCTACGCGCTCCTCTGTCACTACGGC